ACACATGGTTGGCAGAGTGGAGGCCAATCACACTCTCACAACATCTCTGGAGGACCATGGATCTGATTGTGATACATTATCTTACAATCATAGATCACCCCTAAAACTGGCATCCCCCCAAGGGAAGAACTGCCTCTCTTCTTTTCTCTCAAGATTTCATCAGGAAGCCACAAGAGAGCTTAGGGCTGGAGGCTGATTACCAAATGGTAGAGAGCACTAGAGCCAGTTCCTTTCATAGGTTATTAAAGCCTACTTAATATTTTACAGTGTGTGGATTTAATGATATTTTCTTTTTACTCATGAGCTCCTAAATCCACCAGTTGTGTATTTTATACATGAGAGTTATCACAAGCACAAAAATGAATGATCAGCATAGCAGAACTAAAAGTCTGCATCAAATGTAAAAAATTAATCTAAGTAACCAAGAAACGGATTTTCCAAGGTAACACATGAGAGCTGACAGGGATCCTAGGTACAACTCATAACGCTTTTATCTTAATGCAGATTATACTGGCAGTTTCAGTCTGGGAACAAATTAAGAACAAACTTAATTTACCTACTGCTACTGGTACAGCTTTCAATCTATTCCAGGGCTGCTTCTTCCAACCTTTGTTACTCAGTGAATTATTAATAATTTTGTAAATGTCCTGTGATATACCTGGATAGGCAGTTATGTCTACTTCTACAGAATAAAATGGATTGTAGTGTGTGTGTGTGTGTGTGTGTGTGTGTGTGTGTGTGTATGTATGTATGACATTCTATTGAGTAGTGGACTGAGAAAATCCCAAGTTCAGGTCAGAAACAAGGAACAGAGAACAGAGGCCTATTTGAAATCAAGCGTCTACTCCCCTGGGAATCATGTGGATCCTAGCAACACTGAACAAAGGGCTATAGACAAAGTGATCCTGGATTCTGACTGTAAATCATTTTTCTGTGTCTCAGCTCCACATATTCAGACATTTTTCTGTCACGAATTAGCCCTGTATGCCATACTCATACATTATGCTCCTGTCCAGGTAAACGGCAAATACTGTGCATTTGTGTTTCAAGGAGGTTTAGATTATATAATGGGTTTGTTATCAAATTGTCTGGTCTCTGTAAGAGGTTGATCCAGAGACCAGAGGACACTATTCATCAACCAGAGGAGTCTGATCTGCAGGGAAGATGTTGAGACAAAGCCCAATCTCAGGCAGTCAGAGCTCTACAGGGAGGTAAGAACCCAAATAAGATAATTCTTATAAATGATAGCTTGCTAACCCTCTGAGGCTGAGCCAACATCCTAGAATGTAATCAGGTGAACCCCATGTGGATAAAGGAATGAGATGTTGACACAATACTCAAAATTCATCCTCCTATACTTTAAACATCTTATACCATCTCAGTAGCTTACAGGATTTCTAAAGGGAAATTTCAGGTGCTGGGAATTTGACTATCTGAAAGAATATATCTCCCTATGATCAGAAGGAAGGGGAAGATAGGAGAGAAACAACTGGACAAAGCAAACAGAAAACTCTTCGCGGAGTTTAATCCATGAAAATGGAAAGAGAAATATTTTGATCCTTGGAGGAGAGGAAATTTTTCTTTTTAAAAGGAACTAGCAGTCTGCACAGGGGGATGATTGGAGTTGAGATTTGTCATCACAAAACCACTCATCCGGTCTTTTCACCTGCTAGGGTAAACCAACACACTGGTTGAGAAACACTTTCCTGGTCTCTTCTGTACTTTGCTCAGTGATGCACACAATGTTTTTTGTTTGAGAAACCTGAAATATAGACATTAGCACACTAATTAAGACATTCCTTGTTTCCAAAATTTTATTCATGAAAAAGTAAATGGTTTCAAGCTCAGCTAAACTTTTGAATATCCAGAATGCCAGAATGAACGTGTAACATTTCATATTTTGATGATGCAATGCTAGAAGTCAACTTAAGTAAGGAGATGTTTCATAAACACAGAGCCTCATCTCCCCAGCCCTCCACCATGGGAGGACAGAAATTCAATGCTGATTGGAAGTGGAGCACCCCCTCAAACAGCAGCCATGTCCCGGACCTAACACTAGGAAGCTACTGATATGGAACCACCACAACAGACACTAGAACATACTGTGCCTTGGCTATGTCTTCACCCTTATTACGGCTCTATGTACCTGTTGAAAAAGAGAGATTGAGTTCCAAGGGTAAGGCTGAAAAAATAATATTCTTGGGAGGAACTCCTATACTTACAAAACTGTATCATGAAAAATAACAATAATGATAATAATAAATACAAAAAAATGGCATTTCCTCCAACTTCCTCCTAAGCCAACGAGGCTTGCTGAGTGATAAAGACATATTCCTGTAGTTTCCTTCCCAACTACTGTAATGTCAGCAGATTTTATGGGAGAAGGGATGAGGGAGGGGACAAGCTCACTACCAAGAGCAGTATCTGGATACAATTATGAGACTCCACTGGCAATACTTTAGGATCAGCAAGTTGGAGCAAGTTGCCCTGTGCTTAGAGGAGGGATTAACTAAACCAATTTCATCTAAATCAATTTGCACTGTTCAGATACGTTCAAGAAGGAACCGAGTCACTTTGATTTGCAGCAATACTCCCTGGGGGTGGCCTTGCGAGGTATAACAGGCTGGATGAGAATTCCAGGAGTTAAGTAGCCCTTTCAGTCATGAGCCCCTATCTCTACTCTATACAGGCCCTCCCAGTACTAATTCTGGGGCTGCAAGTATGAAGTGAGGCCTAGAACAAGGAGGAGGCCAAAATATTGTGCCAAGACTGGGGTCTCAGCCAGTCAGTAAAGGACTATGCACAATATAGCTGCTTAATAAATATTGTTGACTCACTGCTGTTAGCTGCTAATGATGCTTATATAGCCATGTCTAAAATATTTGTGCCAGTTTTCATTAGAAATTAACTAACTGCCTCCCCTTGTAGGCCAAAAATGGGTGAGGTTATGTTTTTAAATAGGACTGACTCAGATTGTTAGGTTAGAGTACATTAGATATAATTTAAACCTTGACTTAAAATTATTATGACTATCTGTGTGCCAAATTGTATGTATGTTTTCATTCAGTTGTACACATTTAGGGAAAACAGATTTAGGGTGTAAGTACACCAATGGACTTGGCTTCCAAAGGGTTAATGATGGCAAACTAAGGTTTCCCATAAACTAGCAATCCTACTTGTACCCAATCCACTAACCCAATAAAAGGTAAATGAAGTGCTTTCTTTGAGAAGTATAATGCTGAGGGTTTATAGAACTCTTTCATCTTCAAAGGACCAAGGCAAGACTCACAATGCCCAACACACAATATCACGCCTTTTACAGAAATGCACCAACTATGAAAGAAAGGTCATGGGGAAGTGCTAAGGTCATATGGCCAGTGCCACATCAGATGTGTGACAAACTCTCCAATCTTCAGCTTTCCTAGACTTCGCAAACATCAGCTCATGAGGAGCAATTAGGAGAAATCTAATTCACATTACGTATCTGCAGCATATTAACTCATTGGGCAGGAACAAATAAAAAAGAAAAAAAGAGCAACTGTTAGGCCTTTGGGGCAGTGATGAGTAGTGAGGAGGTGGAAAGGAAGACGTGTGGCATGGGGGATGATCTTCGGGGTGGCAGAGTGAAAGTGCCCCCAAACAGAAGAAAACTAGGAGAAGGATCTGCCTGATCAGGGATCCCTTCTATTTGGACCATTGCCGGAGAGCAGACTGGGTGACTGGGAGGAAACACGGGGTTGCAGGCAGCCCTCACAACCCCAACTTGAGATTGGACTAAGCAACACACACAGTACTTGTCTGTTATACAATTTCCAATATACTGTATTCTCTTAAAAGCGATCCTCCTTAGAGCCATCCAGTCATTGCCATCCACTGGCCCCCACATTCTGAATCCTCAAAAGGGTAAATTAATTGGTTGAAAAAGCAAAAAGCGGTGTGCCTGGGAATGCGCAGATGAATGGGCAAAAGGGTGAGCACAGGCTGAAGGGCTGCTGGGATAGCGTGTGGGGGGGAGGGGAGGGGGCAGTGTTGGAATTCTGCCGGGGGGGGGGGGGGAATGTAGGTGCTTTTGTCACAAGAAGAAGTTGGGCGACCCTGAAGGTGGTAGGGGTGTATGGATAAAAAGAGGGAAAGTGCAGAACGCCTGTGCTCCCTGCGATCCAGATCTGCTCTCAAAGAAACGCCTCCGAAAAAATAATGTGCCACACACCAAGTGTGAAGTAACCTAAACCAGCAACGTTTCTGTAAATCAACCCCACCATCATTTAGTTAATACTTATGAGCGAGCAATGAAAAAAAACCCCAGTCTCCCTGATTCAGTTGTAGTCTGTCCTGCGGAGATATGTAAGTCCCCCCCCCCCGCAACCCCCCCCCCACACACACACACACAGCTGCTTTCACAGCTAGGCCAGAAATAAGCCACCACCAAAACAGAGCCCGAAGGCTCTTTCCCGCGGCAGAAAAGGGATTAAGTTTCGCCTGGCCTTCCCGCCAGCAGAATATCCGCGGCGGCATCGCCCCGCTTGCTGTGCCAGCCCCACGGGACACGGGCGCCTCCCGGGGCCCACGAGGCTGCGGGTCACCGAAGCGTGGGAAGGCGGCGGTGCCCTTTCCCAGCCTCGCGCCCAGGCACCCGGGGACAAGGGCTCGCTCGCCAGTGGCCCTGGGCCCGGCTCAGCTCCTCGGGAGGCCTCGGGCCGCGTTCCGCCCCGCACCCAGGAGTACAAACTCAGTCCCAGGAGAGGTAGGGGTAGCCAGCAACAGCAAGCCCGAGATCCCAACTACGTGATCGGGGCGCCAGAGCCGGACCGGGGCTGCCGCCACCGCCTCTTGCCTCGCGGCTCCCTCTCTCTAAACCTTTCCCGAACCCTGGAGCCCGACGCCAGCGCCGGGCCCGGCGGCATGTGCAGAGCGGCCGCAGCCGGGGCCGAGAACTGAGCGAGCGGGTGGGCGAGGACACCCGACCCTTAGGGCCGCGGCGGGGAGGGGGCGCGTTTTACCCATAGCGTTCCCAGGTGCCAGCCATCTCCTCCGCGCGCCAGGGACCGCCGGGCGCTCGCCTGCCTCCTCAACGAGCTGGCTTGGGCTCCGGCGCGAGCTCCCGGGCCGCCACCGCCACTCTAGGCCGCCGCCCGCCGCAGCTGCCGCTCCGCCGCCGCCGCCGCCACCGCGCAGCAGCCAGGAATCCACCAGCCCGCAAGGCCCGTAGGGAACAAATAGCCCGGCGGCCGCGACGTTCTCGCGGTCGGCTCTCCCCGGCTGAACTTAAAAGAGTTTTCTTTCCCTCAGTCCAGGGGCAGCACCATGACACCACGGCAGCACCACACTGTCATTTCCGCCGCCGCAGAGGAAAAAAAAAAAAAAAAGCAAGCGTTTCGCAAAGGCGGGGCGCGGGGGGGTAGTGGAGTGGGGGCTAACAGGGCTGGGGCTGACACCTCCAGGGAGCACCCAGAAGGGGCCGCGGCAGAAGGGACACTGGGCAACCTTCCAGGGCTCACCTTCCGCCGCCCCCGCCACTCGCAGCTCCCCCAGCCCCTCCTCTCTAGAGGCGCGTTACATGTTTTCTCCCCTGGCAGGAGTGACCGGAGAAACCTGAGCAAGTACAGGCAACGGGTGGGTGGGGTTCGGGTTACTACTGTACCTACCAGCTGATTCCAGCAGCCTTTTCGCCAGCGCCTTGTCATCTTGAAGGAAGGCACACCGGAGAGGGGCTTGAGCCGGGATGTGTGTGTGTGTGCTTGTGTGTGTGTGTGTGTGTGTGTGAGAGAGAGAGAGAGAGAGAGAGAGAGAGAGAGAGAGAGAGAGGCAGCACGCAGAATGGAAATGCACGAGACTGATCAAACTGTTCTCCCACCCGCCACCCCACCCTACTAGTATCCCCTACACACAAACACCCCCCCTCCACCCCACCCCACCCCCGCACGCCTCAGCCGCCAGGACAGAACCGCGAAAAAGGCCTCGGCAACCGCCAGTGAGAAAAGTGTGCCTGGGTCCACCGCACAGGTCCCGAAGAAGCAGCCGCTCTGTGCAAAGTTAACTACAGAGTAAAACAAAAATAGTGGAGGAGACAGAAAAGGGCAGACAATTGTAGGAAACCCAACCCCTATTTCTTTTTACAAAGGGAGAATGGCTGCATTTTATTGGCCTGGGACAAAAGTTGTGGAGATGGATTAAAGCCTTCAAATGAAAAAAAAAAAAAGTAAATAAAAATAACCAAATAGTTCCTTTTACACCTTCAAATCGTTGACCAGCAAAACGAGGGTCAATAGTAAGTGGACAATAGGGAGGATGCTAGTTATTCAGCGGCCGTGATAACCTGATTGGTCCGTTTGGAACCCAAGCGACTCCCATTGGTCTGGAGTCAGCCTGTCTGCCGACCTGTCATTGGCTGAGAGACCACAGCCCCACTCACAAGGTGGATGGTGAAAAGAAATAGGAGGAATTCCCAAGAGAGAGATTGTTTCTTGGAGCAGAAGGAGAAAAGTAGGGAAAAGAAGTAGTGTGAAACACCCTCCCCCTTCTCCTAGTCCTCCCATTACTGTGCATGGGAACAAGTCCAGAAAAATGAAGGTAACTCTGGGTGTATCCTGTCCGGGAACCAATAGTAATCAGCCAACACCCCTGTTAAACAATGTGCTAGACAGAGCAGTGAGGTGGAAATGAAGGCAAAAATCACAACCAGGCCACCCTAATGAAATTCAAAATGAGTCACACCCAAAGTATACACAACAAAAGCAAAGATAAGTAAGTGATGCTACATCAAACTTAGAAATATGTGCACAGCAAACAACACAACACAGTAAAAAAAAAAAAAAAAAAAGGCCAGAATGGGAGACGGCAGGTTAATACCCATAGTATATAAAGAATTTCCACAATTCAACAACAAAACAATGTTATTTAGAAGAGGGTAAGGTGATCAGCATTGTGGTGATCAGCCATGGACTGCTTGCTGGCATACCTTGTTAGAGTGCCTTTTTCATGGTCCAAGTGCTTTTCTTCCCTTCTGGTTTCCTGCTAGTGTGCCTTGGGAAAGCATCAAATGATGGTCCAAGTGCTTAGGCCCCTGCCATCTATAGGAAAGATGAGGATGGAGTTTCTGGATCTTGGCTTAGTCATGGCCCAGCACTGACTGTTGCAGACACTTGGAACATGAATTAACAGATGGAATGTCAATCTCTCTCTCTCTTTCTCTCTCGCTAGCTTGCCCTTGCTCTGCCTTTCAAGTAGAAAAAGAAATATTTTAAAAGTGAACAAGAAACTTGAATAAGCATTTCTCAAAGAAGATATACAAATGTCCAGTGAACATATTTAAAAAAAAAAGAAGCTAACATGTTTGAGGACATCCTGTGGTTTTGAATCTAAGTATTTATTTGTTTACTCATTTTTAAATATTTGTTTTTTGGAAAGGCAGATATAAAAAGAGAAGAAGATAGAGAGAGAAGGAGACAGAGAAAAAGATTCCCCATCCTCTGGTTTACTCCCCAGGTGGCCACAGCGCCAGAGCTGAACCGATCAGAAGCCAGGAATCAAGAGCTTCTTCCAGATGTCTCACACAGTTGCAGGGTTCCAAGGGCTTGGGCCACCCTCTGCTGCTTTCCCAGGCCACAAGCAGGGAGCTGGAAGGGAAGTAGAGCAGCCAGCATAGGAACTGGCGCCCTTATGGGATTCCAGCAGATACAAGGTGAGGATTTAGCCACTAGGCTATCGTATTGGGCCCGATTCTATGTATTTTATAACTGAATATTCTGCAGTGATCATTTCTTTGTAGATATCAAAAAATTAGAATATTCTCAAAAAGAACAAGTGAACCCAAAGTTGACTCAGAAGTCAACTGATGCCTGAAAATTCTTCTTTAGTCTCGCATTTCATGATCCCCAGAGAGAGCTGGAGGATTTTCTAAAATGTGAAGAGATGACGATGTTCATCATGGGCCTGCCAATACAGAGCTAGCTAGCTCGTGGGAGACCAGCCAAGTCAAGTTTAGCTTTTGTCATCCTTTGGGAGCCATCCTCACCTTCCCATTCCAGCAGATTTCATTTCCCCTGAGCTGCTTCTAGAGCTTTCAAACTAGAGCCTCGCTTACCAGAGCTTTAGCTGGAGCTCCCTAAGCTTCCCAGGCAGGAGGCCTGCTTCGGAACCTTTGCTTTTCCTTGTTGAAAAATTAATTGCTTCTGGGTCCCTTTAACAAAGGCTCCTACTAAGTGATTAAAGAATTTAATCAACTTATTTGAGCTAAATGTTAACAGCTTCAATTTTCTCTCTATTAGTAGATGATATTTTAATTTTAACACAGACCTTCAGTATATTAACTCAAAAGAATGACTAATAGTGTGTGTGGGTGGGTGGGGGTGGGGACATTTTGCTAATCATATCACACGAGCAGCAGCTTTCCCTCGTTTCAGTGGTTTTTATACACATTACACACTGTAAATGTATTAAAGTAGATGTTTTCTGGCAGGAGATGCAAAATGGCTAAGAGTATGTGATCAAAATTATTTGTTTAGACTTATTTAATAATTATCTTTGTATATAACATATGTTGGTTCTATTAACAAAATAGATCTGGTCCATGGGAAAAAAAAAAAAAAGAGGTTTGACAGACTCAGCTAGAGGTGTTTAATTGAATAAATATGAAGCCAACTCACCACACCACAGGCCTACATTGTGACAGGGATAGTTCATGGGCTTTCTTTTTTTTTTTTTTTTTTTTTTTTTGGTAGCTAAGAAAGGGGCTGGGGGTTGGGGCGGGGCTGAACGGCTCCAGATACTTTCAAAAAGGCACAGAGCCCAGTCTGTTCCAGAAGGAAAAATCACAGAAGCGTGATTCTGTTGTGCAAGAGAATCTGCTACTGCAGAAGGAGACCTTCACATTGCTCTCCAAAGAAACAGCTAGTTGTCTGAAAGCCAGAGATTGACCAAAGGCTTTTTAAACCAGGGAGATTTTACCAGGATGGTGAGAAGCACTTTTGGCAGGGACTCATCAATAAGCACATTCTTCTAAAACTAGTTGTGAAAGGACCCTGTAGGCTGCGTAAGAGAGAGTGATTCAAAATAAATATGTTCCCTCTATGGAGAAATGACATGTCTCTGATACTTTCTGTCCTCCTTTGATATATATTTTGCTGTTGCTTTTATTAAAAAAATCAATTTTGTAAGTTATCTGAATTGTTACATTTGTTAAAATAAACATAAACTGTGTCAGTGACATAGTGGTAGAGATTTTCCTTGCATTTTAATGAGTGCTCAGACCAAAACCTGAAACGTAACACTGACCTTACCTTTTTTACCTAAGCAGCAGCACCTGTCAGAGTCTAGCTTGCCTGATGCCATATGCCCCTGGGTTTCCTCTCATCTCACTGTCTAGAATTCTGTTTCTTCCTCCTCCTTCTCTTCCTCCTGTGAAGGCTGGCAGACCCCAGGGTTCAGTGCTTGGCTCTTTGCTGCATCTACAGACACTCCCTAGGTGACCTCCACCCTGGTTTTAAGTACAATGCATGTGACAATGGATCCTAATTTTGCCCTTACAGCTCAGACCTCTCTCCTGAGTCCAACTTGTATATCCAACTGACTCGCTTACATCTCCTTGTTGCTATTTCACAGGCAACGCTAACTAATGTGACCACAAATTTCAGTAAATGGTATGAGCAAGCTGCGTAAGCCAGGTACTGGGATGTCATCCTCAATACCTTCCTCTCCCCAGTGTGTGACTTTGAAATCTTGCTTTGGTGACCCCGCTAACACTTTTTCCACCTTGCAATCAATATTATCATGATCTTTCCAAAATGGAAACCTAATCATTTTACTTTCGTCTGCTGCTTTTTAAAAACTTTCTATATCTTCTTACCACCATTAGAGTAAAATTACACAATGTGGTCTGTATGATTTGGTGTTAGCTGGCCCTGTCTGCATCTCCAACCTCAAGCTGTCCTATTCTTACCCTGGCTAATTACAATCCAAACACGCTGGCCTTTGATCCCCCTTTAACTACATCATACTGCTGCCCAATCCAGGAACTTTACGTGTTCTTTCCCTTCTACTGAAGTACTCTTCTCTTCAGTCTTCTTCACATGGCTATCTAATGCCTGGTTCCAAGTTACAAACATCACTTCCTTGGAAAAAGCTTCCTGACCAACATTAACTAAATCCCGGAACATTGTTTTTTAATGTATCACACCCACTCATTTGTTTGAGGGCACTTTCTAGCTAAAATGATTATATATGTTTACTATACATACACATGTACACATACACACATGTACACATACTAGAAGGTACATGTCGTGGAAGCAAGGACTATCTCTCCTTGATGTATCTCCAACTCA